ACACTTTCTTATAATTTCAATAATACACTTGAACCACTTTTTATCAAAGGACGAATTATGAGAAAAGTTTTTGATATCGCTGAAATGGTTGCCATTGTAATACTCTTTTTCATTAGCAACGCTTTTATCAAAAATTTTTCTTTTACCGTTCTTAAAGAAACTGTGTTACTACTGCAAAAAATGATGACTGACTTATACTTTGGTTAATACGACCTTAAAAATGAGGCTTCAAGAATCAATTTAAACGGTTTTGCGTACAGCTAACTACTTGTAATAAGCGCCATTGTTTCCAAACGTCATTTTGGAAAATGAATAGAAGTTAATATCGTTCAAACAACTTTTATACAAAAAATTATAAACACTAGAAAAAGTAAAAAACAGTATTTTAAGGAAAACGTTGCCTGTATTGCTGTTGAGTATACTATGTTACCTGATAGGTTCAGGTGCTGGTCTGACAGGTCGCTTACGAACCTATACAGCAATAGCACTGTTTTTTGGTGCTCTTGGTGACTATTCAATCGGGGAATACGGATTACTTATCGGAGCTTCGTCCTTTCTCATAGGACACATCTTTTACTTGGTAATTTCAAAAAGTTTTTAACAATCTGCTACAATACAACAATGCAATATAACTTATTCAAAGTTTTAATAACCTTAAATTTTGCAGCTGACGTTTGCAGACCGAGTTACTAGAATTTATTATCCTATTGCTATTGTTCTTGGAACCGTAGATCTCGCAATTGCATACTTGACTTTGACTCCTATTGCAATAGAATACCCATTGAAGTGTACCATCTTGATGGTGTATACGACTGTCTTAACTGTCTGCGTAGTTCTCAGTGCGTCACTGTTTATTTATGGAGGAGTCAACGAACGACCAAAGCAATTTGTGAGTTTATTGTTGCACAGAATTCCTTTAGGTTTTTATTTGCACAGACTGAGATCACTGGAATGCTGTAAAACGATTAGCAATTCAGATGCTGAAATATTTCTAGAACAACTTGATTCGGCTTCTTGGGTTCGTTCTCTTCTACGGTTCTGACTCGATGTTAGCACTCCATCTGTTGGCATTCAGTATGCCTTGGGCGGAAGTGCTCATCCTTTTCACGTATTTTGGAGCTCAGTATCTTGTTCTTTGGGCAACATGTATCACAAGTCGTCAATCGATTATTCACTAACCAAAAGCCGAGTAACAGTCAGTACAACTATTACAAGTTGTTTGTAAAAATATGCGTGTGTAGATTTTTTTTTATAAATCAACAATATTACAACGTTTCTTTTAACATGATGTTAACAAAGAGAAGTTGTCTCAAAAGCTGCCCTAGAAAACTCCCGCACCAGCAATTTAAGTGACTTTTTATTCATTAAGTAGATGGAGCTTCATCATTTACTAATGAACAGACACTTTAGAAATCTTTTATGTTTTGTGACATGAATTTACCTCACATCTTGCTGATATTACTCAGCATTTTCCCGCAGAATCTTCTAATTTATGCTATAGTTTCTTTCTCGGTAGGGAAATTAAGTACATAACCAATCAACTGTGATTTAAAAAAATGCTCTGCAAGTAACACGTCAAACGTAACGACGATTAGAGATGCCAGCAAATTTTTTAATTTACGTCATACTTTGTTTACTTCAATAAATTACACCTTGTTCGTATGGTAGCTGAAAAATTTTTTCGCAACTAATTTCAGTATAATAGTGTCAGCTGTCAACTTTGCTGAAGCTCACTGAAAGAGACAAATGTCTGTGAAAACCCCCTTCGGTCTCAATAAGCTTGTAAGTCTAAGAGCAAAGCATCTAAGTAACCTAAAAGAATCACAAATAATAAATTGTATTTACTTGTGTTGCAGAGGATATTATTCAAGATTACCTTCACAGACTACAGCTTGAGTTGAAAAATAATCGATGCCTGTTGTAAAAGTGTAGGTCTCCAAGAATCGCATAATATGCAAAAGTTTTTTTTTTTTTTTTTTTCACTTCTGCTGCTGCCAGTCAAGATATTTTCATTTCGCAAATAAAGGCTTCTTAAAATTACAAAGGCGCATAACAGGCAAGTGCAAAAAGCACTCTTATCCATAACGTTACAGTGTCATCACAACTTAATTCGTGTTCATAATTTAGTGGGTGCGCAACTTTGATCAGCATCAAGCCTGATATTTGCTGTCTACGAACTAACAATTATTCAAAAAGAAAAAAGACTGAAATGAGATCAAAAACCTACTTTGATAAAACCAAAAAAGGAGTTTTGCTTTTGTACAAGTATGAGTTGCGAGATTCTGCAATGTTTCTAAAGAGAATTTGTAGCACAAAAAAAGAATTGGCTTCAGCCAGATAAGAAATATTCCGCACCCACTCTTTGAGAGTATATCGTACCATACACCTGATCATCAATGAGCTTAGTTAATTAAAATTTCATGAATACAGACGAACATATGAGCTTGAGAGGAAAAGTTTTTGGTTGTGAACATTATAAACAAACACGATTGAGATCATCAACGATAGCCACTAATTGCTGTTCTTTCATCTATTCCAAGTAAATGTCTTCAGTTGGGTGCGCAAATGCCATATATTCATCGTAAGAACGTTTGAAAGCTTTACTGAAACAGCAAATGCAAATCAACTTTAGCTGTCGAATGTACAAATTAAGGATAGTTTGATTACGCTGCTTGTACTTTTTTTTCTTTACTAGATA